ACTGGTTTTGCAGAAAACCGAGACTTCAAGAGCCATGGGCAAAAATCCTTTTAGGCTTTTTACCAGCTCGATGTGCTCTATAAAACGAGGTATGAATGAAGGAAATCGGAGTTGGGCACCTGGGGCGATTCGCTCGTCAGTTGAGAAGCAAAAATGTATTGAATTATTTAAAAAATATTTTGTCATCAAAATCTTTTCATTATACAACTGGTACATAGTATTCGGTCGCACAATAATAACATGATTCACATTAATGTGTAGATGTTGTCCTAGCCTATTAATACACATCGGAGAACTTAAATGTTTATAGGAAGTTCATGGAATGGTACCCTAACAAGGTCCAAAGAGTCGCCGAGTGCACCAGCTTGAGACAAAAATCTGATCTTAATTTTACCGTGGTTAGGTGCGTTTAGGTCTTTTGTATATATAAATGCTGAAAATTTCTCTGTCTTTTATAAAATACAATTTAAAAGATAACCACCTGTATTCCTTTTTAAACACACAGTAGTTTACACATTTCTTTTTTGCAGTGTAATGGTAATTAAACAGAAAGTTATGAAAACATAATTTTTTTCCGTTGGATAGATCCCAGGTGTTCGTTAAAAATGCATATTTAGAAAATGTTACCTATGTAGAAACGTTTCCATTTATTTAATTCTGCGACAATTCCAAAGAAGCAAACAGGCTGTGATTTTTCCTGTTTTTTTCATCTGATTTTTTGCCTAAAAATATTCGCATCTCAGTGTAGAACCAGCATTTTAGCCTAAAAATTCAAGTAATATAAAAGCTAAGAATTTCAGACCTTCATCTGTCTTTTATAAAAATACAATTTAAAAACAGCCACACTCACAGATTCTTTATTACAATGAAGGGTAATATCCATTTAGTCGAAAAGAGAAATGTTTCCGTCAAAACTGAGTATAAATAAAATCAACTTTTACTTCTAATCAGCAACTGACTGGCTGTAATAACTCTGTATAATAGCGTGGAACACGCCGAGATAATGGGTCAGTACAATGATCAATTAATTCCAGATCTAAACGAGCAAATAATAATTCCGTAGAATTAGATGATGCTGGAGCTTGAGCGAGAATGTTTCCATGTGGATCATAGATAGCTGAACCACCATTAATTATGTTATACGGTGGGCCGCCCATGTTAATCGACCAGTTTACAAATGCTAAATAGATACCATTTTGTATTGCCGTAGCTCGAGAAATAGTTGAACCCATTATATTGCGTATATCAGCACCATAGGCTGACGGATGAATAACTAACTGAGCACCCAATAGACTAAGAATTCTTGCTGATTCTGGCATCATACCATCAAAACAGGTCATAATACCAATTTTAACCGTAACTTGACTCACAGTAGTCAAACTAGCTACAAAAAAATTTTCTCCACTAGTAAAGCAGTCGTCGCCACCGGATAAATGTACTTTACGATAATTTAAAATAGATTGACCTAAATAATTGATTAATTGGATGGAATTATAAAGATTATTATTTTTACCATCAAACGCTTGTTCAATGTATCCATACGCAATGGCAATTGAATATTTAATGGCCAAATTTTGAAAATATTTGAAATATGAACCTGTAGAAAGTTGACAAATTTGATAACAATTTGGACTCATCATACATTGCCCGACACCAATCGTGCTCATCTCGGGAAAGATAATTAAACCAGATTTGTTCAAGCTGGCTTCTATTATTCTCTTTTCGTGAATATCTAAGATTTGACTTGTATTGCAATTCAAGTCAAATGAACCTTGATAAGCTGCAATACGCAGGACATTATTCTCGGCCTTAGCAAGATTAACATTGCAAATAGCATAGAAGAGCAGTAACAGGAACATTGGCTTTCGACGGGTATTGGAAACTACAAACGACACAACATAGTGGAAATGATCTTAAACAGTTATTCTAGGTGCTAGACGACATATTGTGTACCAAATGTTTCTCAATGCGCTACATTGCTCTAATTATACTAATAGGGGTTGGTCTAATTCTGTTATTATCAGATGTTAGGAGAACGCGTTTTGCTTTTAGACCATAAAACAGCCCGCCATCTATAATCTTGGTCAGCATGTATTAACAACTTGAAAATATTGTAAAAATATTTAAAAAGTCCAAATCAAAACTTGTTCAGGCCGATCAAGAAAACTTATCAATGCAACAAAAAAGTAGATTAGAAAGTCACCGAGTGAAAAAGAAGATTAGTACGAAAATTATCAAAACAAATGCCAGATAATTTATGTCAAAATAACGTAATACGCATTAAAACAATAAATATATCGGTAGTTTATGATATGTGTGCTGTTTTGAAGTCATAGTAGTGGAGAAACGTTGAGACTTTCTCACTTTCGACAGATCTTTTAGTTTCGAATGATAATTCTGCGTGTTCCTTTTTTTGTGTATAACCTACTTTTTCTCACATACAAGTTTATTTATGATAAGATAGGAATTTATTTTATACTTTCGCGTAGTTAGCTATGAGATAATTTTGTTTGACTTCAACTTGAGTTATATATTTCTTTCAGTATTCTTTTGTAAATACAAGCAGGAACAAGATGAAACTTTACATATCACAAAAATATATTCTAAGAAAACAGCCCAAATTATTTATGATATGAAATCAAAACTTGGTATTGGTTTTGAAACAAAAGATGAAATATCAGAAGCATTAAAATTCGGATTACTATCCGTTCCAAATGGTCAGACCGCTGGTTGCTTTTTGAATAACTTTTGATAGGAATGAGATAGAGACCTGCGATTTTCGCTGTTCAATAGCCAAGACTTGAGCAGAACTTTTCACAAGCGG